TTTTGTGTTAAGGATTTGTTGGATTTATGATTTTCTTTGGTCGATGAATCTATCTCTTCTAGTTTATCTTCTGCGCCTGAGATTCTCTCTTCCATCTCTTGAATTCTATTGGTTATGCTTGTGTTCTTAGTTGCCGATTTTTTGCCCAGCTTTTCAATTTCCAGCATTCCTTCTGTTTGTGTTGCCTTTATTTTCTCAATTTCAGTTTTCAAGTCTTGAATTGTTTCCTTCACCTGGTTAATTGTTTTTTCTTGGCTTTCTGTACTTTCCTTAAGGAATTTGTTCATTTCTTCCACTTTTTTGTTTGTTTTTTCCTCCATTTCTTTAAGGGATTTTCTCACATCTTCTTTGAGGGCCTCTATCATTTTTATGATGGTAATTTTTAAGTCGTACCCTTCTGGTTCCTCTGCTTTGTTGTGTTCCATTCTAGTTGGTGTAGTTCCCTAGATTCTGGTGGTGTCATGTTTGTCTTTCTGTTGTTAGGTGTTCTCTTGTATTGCCTTCTTCCCATAGCTTCTTCCAGTAGGTGTTGGTGGTGTCTCCCCCCTCTCTCTATGGTACTTCCCCGATGGGCTTATGTGGGTCTGAGATTCAATATCTGTAGCTCTGTGTGGTCCAAGCTCTCTAGGAGGTTTCTCCGCAGACAGGGATCCAGGGATGGGCTCAAGGATGAGGATCCAGAAGAAGATGCCAGCAGGTACTCACAGTGGTCCTCTGGCCAATAGCTCTGGCCAATAGCTGGCGGAAGAGGGCAAGGGCTGAGCTGGAACTTGAGAAGGTTTTGCAGGATAGTGGGATCTCACTGGAAACTGGCGCTCTCCAGCTGAGACCTCGTTCTTTGGCAGAGGCCAGGATTTGGGGGTCAAGGATCTTGCCCACAGGAACTCTGAGTGGACCCGCAGAGATAGGCAGATCTCTGGGAGGGTCCCGGGACTCCAGCAGAGGACTGGAGGTGGGGTCAGAGACCAAGCTGGTGGAAATTACGGGTGGTCCCGCGTGGATAGTCAGGTCTCCTTTGTTCAGAGTTGCTCTGAAGTAGGGTGGACTGTTGGCTCCACCCTCTGTCCCAGTGCTCAACCAGAGGGGCAGGACCGTGGGTGGGGTAGGGCATGGGGTAGGGGGGGGTAGGCTGGCGGTCGGGATGGATGGGGGTGTATCAGAGCTCCAAGGGTGCTCTTGATGGGGACTGGAGACAGGAGCAGCAGGATCAGGGGCCAACCCAGGGAGTTCGGGCGGGGGAGGGGGGAAAAGAGGTTGTAGGGGACCAGCAGCCCTGATTGGGCCCAGACTCACCTCTGGCCAATAGCCAGCGGTGGAAGAGGACAAGGGCTGAGCTGGAACTTGAGAAGGTTTTGCAGGATAGTGGGATCTCACTGGAAACTGGCGCTCTCCAGCTGAGACTTGAGGTCTCTCTTGAATCAACTTTTTCCTTAGTTCTTCATCAAACACAGTTCTGTCAGCCCAGAAAACTGAGCTATGTTCCCAGTTTCCCCAGTAACACCAGTTCCAGCCGGGCAGTGGTGGACCACGCCTTTAGTCCCTGTACTTGTGTGGCCAGCCTGGTCTACAGAGTGAGTTCCAGGACAGGCTCCAAAGTTGCACAAGAAACTGTCTTGAAAAACAAAAACAAAAAAACCCAACCCCCAAAAAACACAAAACAAAAACAACCCCCACAAAACAAAACAAAACAAAAACCCTGGGAACCTTGAGCATACTGCACAGCCTTCAGACAGCTTGGAGAGAGCCCTTTCCAGGTGCCTCAATTGGCCTAAACCTCTTCCAGGTAGCTGGTCTCAAGATTTTAAGACTCCTTTGCATTGGGAGTCTTCTTTGACGCTCAGATTTTTTTTTTTTTTGTTTTGTTTGTTTGTTTGTTTTTGCCTAGGAATTCTGGTCAGTTTCAGGGACTTCCTGAAGCTATTTTGAGATGTTTACCTTCCTGTTTAAGGAGTGCAGGGTGGAATGTTTCAATCTTGGAGGCAACTGTTGCACAATGTTTTAGGGTTTTATTTTTGTGACCAGAGACCATGACCATGGCAACTCTTATTTTTTTTTAATTTACAAGAATTCTAAGGAACAATTTATAAAGGGTATGTTTTCCCTAAATATTGCTTAAATATGGAAGAATGTGAGAGATAACCCTGAACTCATTCAAATATAATGTTAGCAGGCAATAAATTATCAGTAATTAACAATAATAAACCGTCAAAATCGTAAGTAAGAGGGTGCATTAAAAAGCAAAGCTATCCTTTCGTGGCAGTGGTGGCCACACCTTTAATTCCAGTACTTGGGAGGCAGAGGCAGGTGAATTTTTGTGGGTTTGAGGCCAGCCTGGTCTACAGAGCGAGTTGACCATGGCAACTCTTACAAAGGAAAAAGCATTTAACTGGGGGCTGGTTTACAGTTTGGAATTTGGTCTGTTGTCAGTGAGAGGACTGGGGAGCCAGGTAAGGGCCATGCAGGCCCTGCTAGTAGCCCTCCCAGAGAACAGGCCTTAGTTTCAGTTTACTGAAACCAGCTGGAGCAGAGCAAACAATTCTTTGTAAAGCTGCAACCCAGGGGCAATCAATCAGAGGGCAGCCCACAGCCTTGTGCAAGTTTAGGAGAAGTAAAGATAGCTTCTCCTGCCACCCTGCAGCTGAAAAGCCCCCTTTCAATCTCCCTAATCGTGCTTAAAAGGAGCACAGGGGCTTCTCTTGTCATCGCCATTTGCCACCCCAACATGTTAGAATTTTAATAAATGTTCTTGCTGATTGCATATGTGACTGATGGTCTTCTTCTGGACCCTAACATTCAACGTGGTGCTGGTGAGGTTATCAGAGAGTTCAACAGCTGCATCAGCAGGAAAGGATGACACTAGACCTGAAATCTCAGTCTACCCCCAGTGATAAATTTCTTCCAACAAGGCCACACCTCCTAATAGTACCACTCCCCAAGGGCCTAGGGGGGGCCATTTTCATTCAAACCACTACATACATCGTCCTCTTGCCACAGATTTCAAATGCTTTGTCCTAATTGTGGTGTTAGCAGGGATGGAGGGAGTAAGGAAAGGGAGAACAGAGGAGGGTAGAGGGAACCAGAATGTCTTTATTAGGCCATAAAGAAATTCAGTAACTCTTTGTTTCTTCCTTCCTTCTTCTTCTTTTTTTTTTTTTTTTTTTTTTTTTGAGACAGAGTTTCTACCCAGGCTTGATTCAGCTTCTTCATGTAGCCAAGAAGGCCTTTGAGTCTCAACTTTCTTAATGCTGGGTTGCAGTGTTGTTTTGGTTTTTTTTTGGTTGTTGTTGGATTTTTTGTTTTTGTTTTTTTTCCCCCCAGACAGGGTTTCTCTGTGTAGCCCTGGTTGACCTTGCACTCACTCTGTAGATCAGGCTGGCCTCAAACTCACAGGGATTCATCTGCCTCTGCTTCCCAAAGGCTGGGATTAAAAGTGGTATGTATGCTGCCACTGCCTGGCATTTTTTTAAGGAATTTTTTTCTTTAAAAGAAAGTTATGAGAAACAGGCTTGATGATAATCTACAATTATTTCCACTACAGTTGTACGTGTAATAGCTCCACACTGGTGCAATGATAAATCTTACATGAAGTCTGTGTTTGGTAATTGCACCGCAAACAGAGTCATTCACAATTGCTCTTTGAACCTCTGAACAGTCATTAAGATCATGTTACAGGAGATTACTGGATGTTGAAACTGTTTATAATACATTATAAAAAACATGAATTGCAAAACAATCTTTATTGAAGTACAGAGAACAGATTTGAAGAGTGTGTACCAAAATATTAACTGATTATCTCTGCGTGTTAGGATTTTGGTGTTTATCTTCAAAGGAATCATATTGCTCACATATTTTGGAACATGCCGAGTTCTGTGCTGTGTCTTGCCCCATCCTGTATCTTAGATATTAAAGGTTCATTTTCTTTTAATAGTTTTTAGTAATGTTAGTGACTCTGATGTTCACAGAGGTGATACAGGATCATAATATGGGAAGGAAGCTTTGATTTGTGGCTGATGACTTCATTTCTTTGGATTATGATAACTCTGTGCTCAGTGTTTATTTGGCTAGTTATGATTGCAAATGGCTTTATGCAATCTCACTCATTCTATTGGAGAAATGATATTTGATAGAAATAAAAGCTTTTTTTTTCTGAAGAGTAATATGACTAATATTCTTTTGATATATGGATTATATATATTCTAACAAACTAATATGCATATATTGATATACATGGTTTTATATACATATACACACATATTCTAGCCCCCATTTGTATTAAGTTTTAATGACAAAGTTAAAGTAGTACTGGTGAGATGCATTTCCAGTAATGATTATACTATAATCAAAACACCCGAAAGTAGCTGTAGCTGTAATTCTGAGGGTGAATTAGAGAATTGAGGTACTACGACTCAAACGCTTGCCAGTTGGATCCCTCTTACTAACATCCCAGTATTTGAAGGGCTGAGTGAAGAGCGATGGGAGCTAAGAGATTAGGGGTAAATAACGTGAGTCCTTTTTGCCCGCTAACCCATAGCAGACTGTGCAGACCTGGTTGGTGACTGACTGACCCCTTGCGATGGTTTTCATACCACTGCACTGACTGCTTCCACAGAACTTTCAGTGTGACTGGGAGTGACTTGTCTTTTCTTTCTTGTATTCTAAAAGTCTCTGTGTAATGTGCTTCTTTTTTTATTTTTTTTAAGTTGTCTTTAAGAACTTGCTTGTTTGTAATTCTAAATTATTTTCTGTTAAACCAGTGACTTTAAAAACTATATTACCTTAAGATGTTGATTATAATCAGGGCATGTTATTGCATCAAATAGTCTGAAGGCTATGAGTTGAGTTTCCCCCTTCTCTCTAGTGGGCAGAAACTACTTTAAAACTATAACCTGGGTAGGGCTCATTAGTATTGGGTATATCACAGTTTTCTCTCAGATTTAAAAAAAGAATTCAAAAGGCTATTATTTCAGAAAGGTTAAATAAAATGTTCTGTTCCTTTGCAGGTATAATAGTGGACCCTTGAATGTTGGAGAAATTCTCACAAGCTTCGACAATACAGGAAATATTTGTAAGTTCAATGCTAACTGTAAAATATATCCAGTGCTCCTAAAAACAACTTTTAGCTTTTCCCTACTGTTTATAATTACTGTGTGTATACGCTTATATGTATATGTGCACACAAACATATACATATATTCTTATATATGTGTGTACATACATGTATATACATATTGGAAAGCCTTGGTTTTGTTAGCTGTAACATATGCCTCATAGGAGATACATACTCAATGGGGTGTGGCAGTTTTTACAGACTTATGGCGATGTGTTTTTGTGTATGTGACAATGTAGATCAGAAGGAAGTCTGGACTCTGCAGCATTGTTCCTCTTGTTTTTTGTTTCCTTTGGTACTTTTCCCATGTGTTGTTGGTCTGCTTCTGCCTTTGCTGGCTTTTGGGTGCCTTACTCTTTTAGTCTAGATTAAATATAGGACATGTTTGTCATGATGTTATTGTACTTAAAACCCAAGGTTTTGTTTATATAATATTATAGGATTAATTGTTGATCTATTTCTCTGCTGAGAGCTTCACTTAAGCAGTTCTAAAATAATGCCACATAATGAAAGAAGTCAGGTAAGAATATATCACGTGACAGTTGAATGACCTATCATGATAAGAGCTATGTGTGTCTTCTAACTTGTTGCATAGGATACTTACCAAAATAATGAATCAGTAGTAAAATATGACCATTTCGTATTTAAAAATAACTAAAACTGCCGGGTGGTGGTGGCAAATGCCTTTAATCCCAGCACTCAGGAAGCAGAGGCAGATCTCTGTGAGTTCAAGACCAGCCTAGTCTATAAGAGTGAGTTCTAGGACAGGCTCCAAAAACCACAGAGAAACCCTGTCTCGAAAAACCAAAGGGGGAAAAACAAAAACAAAAAAGCTAAAACTTTTCCTCAGAGGACACATATAATTAGTTATTATCTACACTTAAATTATAAATTTTGCTAATAGAATTGTTTTATCAAATGGATGGATTTTAATTGAGTAATGTGTAATAATAGATGTTAATTTTGTTCTATGTCTACATTTTGGCTAGCTCTTGCTTGTATAGAAAAGTTGTATTTTGTCATTGAGGAGTCTGTAAATGATCTAAAATTACCCTAAAATATTTAAAGTGATGTAGGTTTCTTTTGCACTGATAGTAACAGTTAGTTTATATGTATTGGCTGTCAGTGAACTGTGACTTAAGTGCATCTTGTAATTTTGTTGGGAGCTAGGCAAGGACTGGTCCAGGGATGCTGTGGCGGTGTTCTGGAGTAATGTTACATGTCCTTAAGTCAGCCTTGTGTGCACACAGATTTAGAACATGATCCTGGAACGTGAAGTATAGAGATTTTAATTCAGTCTCATAAGATAAGTATTGTTTGCTTGACTCTGTATGAAATAAGGCCACTAGCTGGCAGCACTACATACAATAAAAATAGTTTCCTAACAGTCCAAGTTATTATTTCACATATGAATGATGTCTTATTCTTCTTCACCATTTTCTCCATTACCACACACCATGTTGTTGCATTGATAAATGGAGAAATTGTGTGTTGAGGATATTTTTTTCCTGCTGTCTGTTATTTGGTAGGAAACTTCAGAACAAGTGAGACACATGTACAATTGAATCCTAACTCAGAAACTCACCTTAAGCGATTTATATAGTCTCTGTGAATGTGTATTTTATTACTTTTAAAGGCTACATATTCATTTTAAAGATTACACATTAATTTTTAAAGTCTACATATTCATTTAAAGACTACATATTCATTTTAAAGACTACATTGGCACCATAGAGCACTCTATTGCCCACAATTTGTAATAGGTAAAACTATTTATTTATTAGTTTATTGCTCCTGGTGTTGGTACTTTTCCAACTTGTTTTTAAGTATGTACAATTTAGGTTGTTAAGGATTGATTTAAAATAAATTTAAGTTGAAAGGAGACACTAAGAATTAATTTTGAAGTTTTAAAATAAATTATTTTGGTTGAACTAAAAAGCCAGAATTAGATAAAAGACAAAGTAGTTTATTAAAATGTTTTGTCATAATAGTCTTAAGAACCTGAAAATATTATTAAGTGACAGTTGTAGTGACAAAAACAAGATATATATTGAGTTTTTATATGTAACTTTTTTTTTTGCATGTGAGTATCTGTGTGATATGTGATATGTGGTGTGTGTGAGAGAGATTGTGTGTGTGTTCATGGGAATGACTGTACGTGTATATGCATGAGGTTGGGTCAGGAGCGTTCTGCTGTTGTTCTCTACCCATTCACTGAAGCAAGGTTTTTTGTTTTTTTAAAGATTTACTTATTATGTATACAATGTTCTGTCTGCATGTATGCCTGCACACCAGATCTCATTACAGATGGTTGTGAACCACCATGTGGTTGCTGGGAATTGAACTCAGGACCTCTGGAAGAGCAGCCAGTACCCTTAACTCCGAGCCATCCCTTCAGCCCTTGAAGCAAGGTTTCTTAACAGAGCCCAGAGCTTGTCCATTCTACCAGCCTAGCTACCTAGCTTACTTTAGGGCCCCCCCCCCCAAGTGCTATTGCCAGAGTTAGAATGGGCCAGCAGGCCCACCTGCCGTCTCCATGGGTTCTGTGGAAATGGGTGTGGGGCAAGTGCTTTCTGCCTCAGTTCCCCCCCCCCCAGGCCTTATGCGACATTGCACTTTTTAGTGTTCGTGTATGTCGACCCCATTGTCCCTCATCCTTCCCGTCCATCTCTTTCCCTGCCCCTCTTCTCTGCTGTTACTTCCTCATTGCATATGCATCTATAATTTATGTGACTATAAATTTACTCTTTAAGCGAAACATATATTGAAGTTCCACTGAATGAATGAATAGGTAAAATCGTATTTCAGCAAAGTAAATCCTAGTTACAACTTTCATGTAATCTTCGCCATGAAGTGCTCTTGGACAAAAAAGTAATCTCTCACTTGACACATAAGTTTGATTTGATTTCATTAGTGTTGCTAGGTTGAGTTTGTGAGTAGAAAGACCAGCAGAGGGCGCCGCAAGCACAATTCTGTTTTCCATCACAGTATAATTAGTGCGTCACAAATAATAACTAAGCTTTCACTGTGTAAACATTTGAAGATGTTTTTATATACAGTCATTGATTTATTTCTCATATTCTTAATGCATTTGCCAATCACCGATATAAAAAGCATTCCTTGTCTTTGAATTTCTTTCGTTTTTGTTTGAAATGTCAGTTTTCGTATTTCTGTCTTTAAATAGAGGAGTGGTTCTGATCTTTTAACCCCGATAGGGCCTTGCACAGAGATACCAGTTCCTGTAGGACCACTGTGAGAACATGCCAAGGGCTAGTTACAACAAGGGAAAAAGCTTCTAATGGTAGCAATGGTGGGCATAGTTACTTAGGTTCTGCAGGTCAATATTACATAATAACAGAAAAATAATTAAGCTATTTTAGAATCATAAAATCTGATGTGCCTGCCCAGTGAATACAGCATACTCATCATTCAGTAGAGCCATTTATCTCAGATTTAAAAATAAGTTAATGGATATGCTCATTGTATGCTTTTAGAGATAAAATGAATATTATTTCCAGAATATCCAAAGTGACATGGAAAAATCTTCCTGATTTTTGGGGAATAACTGAAATATCTATTTTTTTTCCTGATATATCGGAAAAGAAAATATTTCTTGTACTTCTGTTATTTATGTTTTGTTTGTAAGCATCCAACCTTAAAATGGTTTATAATCTTGAGGTACGTTTTCACTGACTGACCTTTATTCAGGGATGTAAGGGGAAATGACGATGGATTTGGTGGGCTGGATGTGGTGATAGAGTGTTTGCCTACCATTCGTAAGTACCTAGGTTTGACTCTTAGTTCCAGAAAGAAACAAAAGCGTCGTGCAGAGGGAATCATTTCTGCACCCTGACTTACCTCTGTAGAACCCCAGCAGTGTCTGTGTGTGTCTCCTCTTGCTTTTGTGGAGAGCAGACTATGGTAGTCGGCCTCCCCTAGGGCCTCCCCTAGGATAGGCGTATCTGTTTCAGTCTTTGGTTCCCATTGCTCCAGAGACATCCAAGCTGCTCTGCAGAGAGCATGTGCTCAGTACTGAGCCTTGGTGTGAGCGAGGGAAAAGCTTAGGACTGGGCCTCAAGGCCAGTGGGGCGCTTCCACGTTCTGCTCAGATACCTAGCTAGCAGAGGATCTGTCAGGGAGTACCGCAGCCACTCTCCTGCTTCTGCTGCTTGCCTGTGGGCAGATCTTCTTTCTGTCTTTCCCGCCAATCCCCAAGCTCTCACCAGAGAAGCACCAGCACTCTGCTTTCCTAAACTTGGCTCTTTCTTCTACTGAAATGATTTTTGTTTTTTTGTTTGTTTGTTTGTTTTGGTTTTTAGGCAGGGACTTTTCTTTGTAGTCCAGCCTGTCCTGGAACTTCCTGTGTAGAACAGGCTGGCCTTGAACTCACAGAAATTTGCCTGCCTTTGCCTCCCCAGAGCAGGGTTTAAAGGCATGTGCCACCAATGCCCGACTATCTTTTGATAGCCTGAACAGATGAATTAATATTTCTCATACTATTTATTGCATGTTCACATAACATATATACACATAAGTAATACATAGAATTTAATAACATAACTAATTAACTAGGAATATAGAAATAGTGAGAATTCAGAAATAATAAATGTAGACTTTTATATAATATGCATATTATTACATGTGTAGTATATGCAATGTATATAAGCCAATAGTTGTTATATATATTATTGCAATATGTTCCTGTCAGTCAGAATTTTTGTAACAATTAAAAATGTTGCAGCTTCATTTTGGAGGATATATAGTAAAACCCCTTCTGCTGTTCTTTCAGTTTTTTTCCCTCTTCTGCTTTGGCTAGGAGAGGACCCTGTGATTGGTAGATGTCTCCTGGCTTCCTGAACGTGTTTGTGGACCCTCTTCCTCCCAGGGCACACCTGAACCTTTAATGCAAACAGCTCTAGCCCTTTTGTACATCCTTTCTACTCGTGTGGCAGGATCTG